ACAAAATTTTAATTTTTGAATAAATTCAGCCTTCTCGTTTTCATCGCCATTTTCCTCTATACTCCAATACTGATCACAGGTCCTTTCCATTAGCTCATTAACGGTAAGTTTTCTATTCGTTGCCGCTCTATCAGTTTCATCATTTTCAAATAGTTCTAAACTTACTAACTTGCGACGCTCAAAAACTTCGAAACCACTTTCATCAAACATTCGTTGAAAATTTCTCCAAGCATTAGCCGTTAGCAATTTCCTGGGACCATACGTTTGCTCGTGGAAGATATGCTTGCAAGGAAGCATATATTTTCGAAAAAAAAGGCAGTGACACTTAAGTATCATTAACCCGGGCAATGCTTTCTCTTTTTCTATTCTACTCTCAACAGCAAAAACTTCACCAACTATTAATTTTTGAATCGGAAAGGGAAATTTGTGAATCTCCTGAATTATATCATCGTCGATACCGGGGGCAGAAATTTTTTTAACACGAAATTCGAAAGCAACAAAATCCGAATCCGAATGCCTTTTTAAATCAAGTACAACGATGGTATTACATGCACCGATTAAACCGTAATAAGAAGAAGTCATTCTCTTTAACTCGCTATGGTATGATTCCAAAGCGTTCGTCGATGTTACTTGCAAAAGTAACAGAAAATGCTGGCGGGCCCACAACGCCCACTGGTGTGTATTTTTCAAATAGTATCTTGAAATATATCTTTTAATAGCAGAAAGGGCACTTTCATTAATTGATTTTTGGACAAGCATCTCACAATTGATCTTTGTTCGCTTGTGCATGGCTTAGATCATCTTGCTCCTAGTTTCCGATTCGTAGATTTTATTCATCCAAGTCTGCATAACATGTACGGTGCAAAGAACTACCTCACATTCCTGCTCGCCTTTTTGGAGACCTGGGAAAGCCGTTATAATACTTCTGGCTTCTACGCTGCTTTGGTCTGATAAAAAATATTGAGGTTTCTAGGAGCTACAAAACCGCCGCATTATTACCAATGCTTCTGCGACCGTATCACTGTCTTCATTACTAACGAAAAAATGTCCACTGACATCCCAACAACCGTATCTGTCCCAAATATATAGCGTAAATAGACGCTAGTCGTATTTATTGGTCTTGTGTGTGGAGTCGATCAGAGTAAGCCATCCATGCCGTTGAAGTTTTTCGAGTTGTTTTGGATGCGCGAAAACAAAGCCACGAGTAGATTGATGCTGAATTCGGAACGATTCAACAAGATACCCTTCTTTTTCTAAAAAAGAAACTGCATCACAAATATCTTGTGTTAGGTTAGAGGCACCAACAAAATGAGTATTTTGAGGTCCACGAACTTTATACTTTATGTTGGCAACCTCCCTCCATTTTAGCTCTTTTACGCTTGTACTAAGATCCAGCTTTTCAGTGGCATACTCTTTAACCGCATTAACTATTGCGGGAGCGGGATAATTTTTAACTGCTTCTTTTTCTACCAAAGCCTGGACCGCTTGGGACCGCTTTAATCTTTCACTTTCTTCTAGGTCATAAGTGTGGTCGGGAGAACTTGGAATACGTTCAACATGCACTTTCTTTTCGGTAACCAGCCACGTTACTTTTATTTTTGCAGAACATAAGTTCACATCTCGAACCTTTGTTTTTCATTGTTTCTCACTTGGAACATCTTCTTTGCGTGTGCTTGATTTGAAGGGCTTGTTAAAACGGCATACGAAGGTTTTCCAAGAATTTCCATTGACATGATTTCTGTAGTTAAATTTCATCCAAACGTTCGTTACTAAAGGCCACCATTTAGTGTCAAATTCTTCCATTGGCACTTCGAATGGTTGCTGAACGTTAAAAAGCAATATGCGCTGTTGGTTGGGTGTTAAACTTGTTGTTGAGATGGGATTCGTCGCTACGGTTTGTTCAGTAAATAGTTGTAGAAGACCGGATGTTTGTAGCGAAAGGTCTTGCACAAGGTTCTCGTTTGTGTTAGAAAATATATGTCGAACCTGAGAGGAGTTTTCTTTATTGGAGGTACTCATTTTTTTTTTTTTTTTTTGAAGCGCAAATTTTAATTTTTTGTTTTTTTTTTTTTTCGTTTGTTGTTGAAGCGCGAAGTCTATATAATTTTTTTTTAAAGTTTTATTTCATGAGGGTGCTTAGTTTTCTCGTAGTATTTTTTTTTATAAAGGTTTGTAGAAAGTTGTACATTCCCGTTACAAACACATTTGTCTAGCGAAAGTTTCGCTTGTGATTATTGTTGATTATCAAACATAATCTTGTTAAACGTAATCTATTTTTATATCAAGAAATTTCTTGAATTTAATTGGCCGTCGTCTTCTTATATAATTTCTCCGGCTTCCGGATGGTCAGGCCGATGACCATCGGATCACGTGATGGTACCTGGCTTTAACGGTTCCCTCAATTTAGAATTATGATAATCGAATATTCCGGATATCGATCACAATAAGATATTCTTTAAACTGGATCTAATTACTAGTGTCTGATTTAAAAGAACATCCAGATACTGTATGGAAATTCGTATATACTGTATCCCTATAAAAAAAGATTGTTCAGTTATTGTAGGTGTTGTCCAAAAAAATGTTCGAAACTGAGTTGGTTTTCCAAACAGGGTTTATGTTTGTACTGTTTTCATAACGACGTTTGTATAGGATGTAAAAAAATAGAAAATTTTTGGTTAAAAATTATCGTATAAAAAATGTATAAAAAACGATTCATCCAATAAACATCTTTTAAATGTTCGAAGCAGAGTCGATTTTCTGAACAAAAAATCGAATAATTTCAGAATTTTCCGAATAATTCCAAGATATTTTTTTTTATAGAGTATTTGAGTCAAGTAACAAAATTTTATCAATATTTATTAAAACAATGTTTATTTCGAACTTGTCTTTATCGTTTATAACATACCGGTTTTAAATTTAAGATAATCATTTGCTAATTGACTATCCATATTTATTATTAACATTTGATTTTTGATCAAAAGTATATGTTTAAAGGGTTTATCTGTTTACTTTTGAAGTAATTTTTTTTTCCTTAATGAAAACTTTTTGTTAACCTTCGTTCCAGTGTCAATTGCATCTGCTTTGTATAAACACGCAGAATCTGGTAAATGTACTAATAATCGTGAACGGGAGGTAGAAAACTTTATTATGACATTAGAAAGAGTATTGAGAATGTATCTTCAAGTGATAAAGAGCGTTTAAAAATTCTTAAAAGTTTCGGGCGTGGTGATAATTAATTTGATTCGAATTCAAATCATTGATCAACCAATAAAAATTACGAATTTTGAAGCTGGTATAAAAAAAAAATTTTAATATACATGTTGGAATCATAATAGATTCGGAGTCCAGTCAGATTAGAATGGAATAATTATATCAAAAACCCCAACCCTAACCTTAAAATTCCGAATCAACTTGAATTCTGTACCTACTTACGACTCAACTTACGACATATGTACTGTATTTTATTATTATTACTAGATGTTAGACCTGTCATTAAAAGACGGGTTAGATTTTAACATCTCTATTACCATACCCTGCAGGATAAAGGTGAATAATCAGCGTTTCCAAAACTTCCTTGCTATAATGATAATACACGATATGTAAAAAGAAGACAGCAGTCATGTGAGTTTTAGCTATAACATGAGAAAAATAATCATTCTAACAGCTCTTTATTATTAGTGTTAGCGTTAGGATGAGAACTCTAATATCTCTTTATGGTTAGTAGAGTACCAATCTGGATAAATCCATCATCTGAATTATCCGGATAATTCAGATCGCTCAGATATCCGTGATAATCCGAAAGGTATTCTAACATTAATTATTCAATAAGGTACTTAAAATAATCCTTATATTAATCTTTAATTCGTTTTCTTTTGGTGATAGACTTTTGGTGTGAGAACTAAACAAATCTCTATAATTGTTAAATTGAAATAGCATATGCTATTGTAAAGAATGCAAACAATACAACATTCTATTGTCTTGTCTGTTTTGTCTTCGTCCTCTCGAACATGATGCAGAACAAATACTGTATAAAAGAACTACGTCACAGACAGACGCGTTAATATATCGATATAGGTTTTTTATTTTTTTTTTTAAAAAAAAAATTTTTAAAAATTACCGGTAGGGTAGCCATATCACAAAAAGCGATGCGTAGTATGATCGTTCATATTAAATCTCATTTTCTGTTCATCAGCATCGATCAATCAGAAATATGACAAGTATGATCTGGTAAGGATTATGATCCGAATAATCCTCATCCTCAATCTGAAATATATTACGGATCTATTCGTTTAAAATTGACGGATAAGGATATCTGCATTTAATCCGAATTAGTCGGATTGCGAAGCACTAAAAACTGGTTTAAAATTATAGTTGGCATGATGATATGTTATTTGGGTTTTCTTATGTGTATATTCTCTAGTGAATGAATCACGCCCATTGTTATGGTAAAACATAACTTTCTGCGTGGTAGTAACTAGTTACATATACCACATCCAAATGGTGTCAACACTTTTAATCACTTTTAATATATATGAAATTGAAAGCCTAATTTGATCCTGCATTAATGCTAAATAGTTTTTTTGTATTATTAATACATTTTTTAACTATCTTTTTTTTTTCTTTTTATTTTAGGTATCAATAGCTTTTGATGAAATATGCTCTCTTATAGAGTTAAATGCCTTTGGTAAAAATGTTAAAGACCTTATGGAAACTACAAAATTTTCACTAATATATATCTACTAAAGACAATCAATACAATTACCTGGTGTGAAGATGCGAATGCAAATATAAGATCTTTAAGGCATAAAATAGGAAAGGTTTGTGTTTAAACTTTTTAAATATTACTTTATTGGATCTTACTTATGTTCATAATGGTTTCAGTGTAAGAAAGACAGTAATGGTGATGTAAAGGCTATGTGGGAGAAGATTGATTTGGAGCTACAACATGCAAATGTGGAAAAATTAGGTTTTGACCACCCATTATGTTCTGGCATACTCAATATAACCTTGGAACCTTTCACAAAAATTTTAAAATCATTTCACAAATCACTAAAATATGAATTGTTTTCAATAAATAAAAATCTGCAAATAAATAAAGAATTATATATGTGTGATAATCGCATCTCTGTTGAATATTGTAATAAACAATTTACTGAAAACTGTATAGAGAATATGGTAAGTTTGTTAAGTATAATTACTGTTTAATTATTTTAACATATATTTAAAGATTATATCTGAAATCAGGGTGATAAAAGTAGTTTAGCTAGTGCAATACGTAAGGGTTTTTAAAAGGTTACACAAGAGCAGATTACATAATATGTGATTTTTGAAGTTGTTTACCTTGAAACTAGTTGTCCAAATTCTACTTGGAGTAAACAATAATGGAATTATAAAAAGTTGGTTTGCTTTTCAAAAGATTTTATTAACTTTATAAAAAGTATATCTTAGCTACAAAGAGTGTTTAAAAATCAATTGACAAGAGATATACTAACTATTTTTACTATTAATATAATTGGTAAATAATATATATATAATTGTTATATTTAACTAGCCTTATTGTTATTAATAAAATTTTTGTATGTAACATATTAGAAGTTTATACTATATACAAGAAACATAGAATTTATAAGTACTACTTGCTTAATGGGCTTCAATTTTCTTACAAATAATATTATCAAGAGATGTTTATGCATTTATTTATATGTTTATTTATATATTGCTAATATTAAAGATTAGTTTTTTTTGCTTTTATATATATTATTATTATTATTTAAATAGCAGTTGTGTATATATTATATAAAATCCTTTATAAATTTGAAGGAAATAGTAAAAGCCTAATAATAGGTTCTCTTATTGGCATTAAAGTTGAACCCAAATAGTAGCTGAATAGATAGTACAGTCAGACCTCTCTAAATACACATCGTCTAGCACATGCATTTAGAGAGATATTGCATTTAAAGAGATAAAAATCTATAGATGTAATATTAGTTAGACCCAAAGGAAAACGTACATTTAGAGAGATGCTGCATTTAGAGAGAGTGCATTTAGGGGGTCTGACTGTATAGCTTTGAAAATTAGCATACACCATACTGCTAACAATTTATATTTGTAATTGTTATTTAATAAAATTGGAATTGAAACAGATGAAAATATGAAATATATAAAAAAATGATAAAATTAAACACTAATATAACACTTAATCTTGAAAACATAATTAAAATATTTTAACCAATTTCTATGTAGTGGGTAACCCAAAAAGTGAATAGATAGCCATTGTATTTAATTATAGCAATAATTAGTTTTAAATAAACAAATATAATGTAATTTTTAAATAAATATATATCTTTAATTGGGTTTTTCTAGACATCTCTGGCCAGAGGTATATAATTTATATATCTCTGGCCTCTTTGGCCAATCAAAGAACGCGGAAATCACATGACTAAGGTTCATGTGGTTGATCCGACT